GAATGATGAGTATTAGGAGGTACATTATATAATAAAGTTGCTCTGCAGTTGTATCAAGTACCTGCTTGACTACCAAAATGCCCGTTAGGGATTTCAATATAATGAACTTAATTTTTATTAGAAAGAAGAATCAATAACAGTAGAATGTGTAAACAATGAAATCATATAATACTATATAAATAGAAAATCGCAAATTGGATATAAACTAACGTAAGTCATTCCACGCTTTAAACAGTTTAAAATGACATATAAAAAAAGCCTAATCCAATGTGATATGCATAACATGTTTTTAATTTACCCCTTTAAATTATTATTGATGAATGGCTAGGTCAAAACAACAACAGAATACAAATGCCACTACATCGACTTGAATTTGAAAACTATTTGCACTCTTTTCCGTAATATTCTAACTGTACTGTGTACTCAAACTGAAGATAAATATGTAAAACAATGTTAACTTACTATTTAGTGAAGTTCCAATGTAAATAGGGAGCAGCATCTTCAAACAACTTAGCATCAAATGTGGTATATCAACTCCATAAAATAGACGAAACAAAGCTTCTCGATTTCATGCATGTGAAATTCAGGCTCAAATAATTTTCTACGCAAAATGGCACATTTAGTTAAGCCAAATAACATTTAGTATTTTATGGAATAGCTGTTCTAGGCATGAGACTTTCATTTTTTTTTAAAAAAATAGCACCCCCCCCCAACACCTCCCCCCCCTGAAACAAATTCGGCCTCGATTTCACGATCCCAACCACGATGTCACACAGCCCACTCATTTTACATTTCTTGCGCGTTAATACTAAAGCAAACTTCGGTAAGCATTCTGGACGCTCGCTTTTCTTCAAATTGAAGGGTAAGTAAAACCATTTAAATCTCTTCCATTTTTAACTCCTAACATAACAGTCCCCGGGGAACAGGCCAGCCGTAATAGATATCTTATTCACAGAGATAGGTCCAAAATATAAACAACATTTTCCTCGGCACGCTCCAATGCCGCGGCTTATAAATATTTTAATAACGGGAATTACACGTGGGATTGAATACCACCCTTCCTTACAAAATCATTACACATTGGGGATCTTTTATGGAACTAATCAATTCAGAGAACAGAAACCAATCGATTCAGGGATTAGCCCCTAATAGCAAACAAACAGCCCACTACATACGGATAAAACAGCATGCTCATACATATTTGGACTTCATCATCATCACCGATCTCACCACGAATTCACGTCACAGTATTTCCGATCATCATCACAAATCACATATGCGAGCACGTGGTTCCAAGACGTGCTAGCGGGTTAGAAACGTGCTTTCCCTAGTTATGCTTGGAGCCTGATGAAACATAACTATAGAAAAACAAACGAAAGGGACTTGACCAGAATGGCAATAACCGGCATTCATTCTGGCTAAGGCGTCTCACGCATTTCCATATTGCACCCGGGTTTTGCCAAACAACAAACACATATTCGTAGCATTTCATAAATATAATTTTCAAGTCCACAATTATCCACAATATTCTTTAGTACACAATTCCTATAACGGTATCATATAAAATGTTATCAATCATCAATCTTCATCATTGCCACACTGCCACCATCTCATTTTCAAAAGGCGCCCTCCAACAACCCTACAATGAGGGCATAGCCATCTCCACAGGATCCGAATACCTGCAACTACATATAAAATAAAAATATTGACTAAAAACAGCATTATTATATTTACCAGGCTACTTTAATAGCCTTATGAATTGTATCCTGGTTACATGTTCCTTAAATATTCTAAATATCAGCATGCATACTGCCATTAAACTGTACATAACTTGTACATAAGGTACATAATATTTTTTTGTTTGCTTTTAGCTGATTGAACAGTAAATAAGCATGGCTTTTGCTTGGAACCCAATAGTAAGTATTCATTGCTTGATGAGATTGGTGAGCATTTTATTGACCATGCTATAGAACTGGTTAAGACTGGGGGACTGGACAAGCTTGAAGAATGGACTCATCAAATTTATTCAGCTGCTGGACTTTGCCGACCTAAGACGCTTGAGACCATTCAAACAAGTCAATGGAAGACAATTTGAATCCTTTAAGGACATTTTACATGACCCAACCGCTTTATTTGAAGAAGAAAAATTTGAGGAGTGGGTAAATAGACATAAAAATAACATTTTGAAGCAAATTGATACAAACTCTGATTATGATATCACTGATTCAGAAATTATTTGAAAAGTTGCAAACATTTTGGCCTGTTTAGGACAGACAGCTTGTGGAGCATAGTTTCATTATTTAAATTGTTACAATATAGCTATTTCAATTCAAGTTTTGAGAGACAATAATCAAATGTACTAGAGAAATATATACACAAAGAATCATATAAGTGGAGTTAAATCTATGGCTGCTTGATTCTTGCACTTTGATTATGCTCAAAATTCGCAAAACTAGAAAGCACTTGTCTAGACTAGCTTTTGTTTGAATTTTCTGAAATTCTTTCAACCCTGTATACATCAGGCTCTTTTGCCACAGAATTCAATTAAATACACTCTACATCTTAAATACTAGACATGCAATAATTGTACATATGTAGTAATTAATATACTCTATTTACACAAGTACAAAAACCTTTTCCAGCAGACAATTTTAAAAAATATAAGAGAAAACATACTCAAAAATAAACATGTTGTAAACTCAAGATATGAGCTGTTAAAAAACATGACACAATATTCAAGCTGATATTTCAACTCTATTTCAAAGTAATTGTCAAACCTGATTCAAAGGCTTTGATTTGAAAGAGAGTCGAAATATCAACTTGAATATTGTGTCTTGTTTTTTAACAGCTCATATCTCGAGTTTACAAGCTGTTTATTTTCGAAGCATGTTTTCTCTTATATTACACAAGTACTTAGAATGTAAATAATCGTTATGTAAAATATCAGACTTGTGTCACTCATTCTCTAATGTTACATGATTAAGCACAGTTACTTCTATCACAGTTAGTGGACTGAGATGGTTAGGCTAGTCTGACCACGTGACAAATATGTTATTGTTCATTTATATTTTCTGTCACGTGACGAGGAAAGGGGATGGCCAGATTGAGAAAGCTATACAATATATTGGCATTTTTTATTGTTGCGTTCGAAAGTTGTATTCTTGCGCTATTTTTGGCTTGCTCGGATGCTATTAAAACTTTAAATTTTTGTCGAATAGTATGGTCGGCTCTAATTGTGCTTTTTATGGCTGTCCTAGCAGTAGAAAGCATGAATATTCGCTTTTCAAAATTCCTGTTGTGGGCGCAACCGATAACGAAGAGACGGCAGCGAAGAAGAGAAGTGCTCGGGAAGAATGGCTTCGACTTATTTTGAGGACTGGAGAAAAGACGACGGGCCTAGCTAGCCAAATTGAGAAGAACACGCTGTATATTTGCGAGCGTCATTTCAAGCCAGAGTGTATTTTGACTTGTAAGTATTTGCATTTTACATCTGCATGCGCTTGCGGCTCTGTTATAAATATGCATGTCTCTGATTACAAAGAGCGCATTGTCTGATTTATACAAAGAGGGCAAGTGTATATATTATGCAGCTTAATATCTAAAGGTTTTCGACCTTTACCACCGCTATATGCACTCAATCGATGAGATGCCTGGCATTGTTATTGAACAAATACAATCATGGCCATGGTTTTAATTTTTGATATTTTGCTTATCATGATATCATATGTATTTATCCAAGACTTATGTCTTTTCGTAGACACGAAACGAAAGGTTTTGGTAGCTGGTAGTGTGCCCACTGAGAACCTACCTACAAGAAGTCACGAAACACCAAAACATGAGCGTCGCGTTCTTGTGCGAACAGATGTAGGCGAAGCAAGCACTAGTTCCGCCTCGAGTTCTACAACAGAGCCGTGGACAGAGCCATCAACCAGTGTTGGGTATACCTCAGCTGTGTACAGTATTTACGAACTGGTTAGGGATTTGGAAGGTATTAAAGCATCTGGCCCATGGACAGTTGAACACACGTCAGAAAACGAATTAGCCATTAGGCTCTTTGAGGAGCCTCACAGCATACCGAAATATACCGTGCTTGTTAACTCTGGTATATAGTGTCTTCTTTTACCAGTGGCCAATCCCTGATGACCATGTACTGTATAAACAATTTAGTCGATCTGTAGTAAGACATGGCAACATACATGAACTGTTGCAATTATTGCAGAATTCTAGCTTTTGTGGAGGATTACCAGACATTGATGAAGTGAAGGATGTTGTCATTGACCCAACCAACTCAAGTCCATCTGCCTGGAACAATTATCAGACATTCAGTACCCAAGCAGGTATCAACAGAGGAGCCCAATTTCGAGGTTTTAGTTTTTTTCAGATCTGTTGATTGTCGTGTCATTGAAGAAACCGCACATGACCAGAAAAACTCTTGTCAACCATGCACAACTGCACTAAATGCTATTAAGAGGGCAAATAGACGAAAGTCAAAGGCATCAGCTGAACCTGCCAAACCCAAGGCATCGCTAGCTGCATGTGGTCCAGAGAAACTCAGAGCCACTGTCCAAGTCGCGAGAATCCAGTGCAAGGAGCTTGAGGAACGTGTAAAGCACCTCCAAACAAGAATTGAAGAAGATGGAGTTGCCATCAGTGCATCCCTTGAAACTGATCTTCTCAAAATAATGGGAGATCAAAATTTGGAAGCAAGTCCCCACATGAAATTTTTCTGGGAAAAGCAAATGAAACTGTTGCAGTCAAATAAAATGGGAAGCAGGTACCACCCACAAGTGATTAGATTTGCTCTCTCAATCCATGGTAAGTCACCATCAGCATACAGGGAGTTGCAAGACAGTGGTGCCCTAATTCTACCAAACGAACGTGTGTTGAGAGATTACAAGAACTATTTTAAGCCCAAAGCCGGAATTAACCATGAAAACATTGAGTGCCTGAAAGAGAAGACAAAACACTTTTCTGAAGTACAGTGATATGTTGCCCTCGTCATGGACGAAATGAAAATACAATCCAACCTTGTTTTCGACAAGGTTAGTGGTGATCTCATTGGGTTTGTGGACCTGGGGGATCCTACAACAAATGATGCATTTGCTGAAGAAGAAAGTGTGGCCACTCATGCTCTTGCATTTTTAGTCCGAGGATTGTGCACTGACATGAAGCACATTGTTTCGTACTATTTCACCAGAGATGTCACGTCATTTCAAATCATGCCAATCTTTTGGAAAGCAGTTGCTGTTTTGGAATTGAACTTGAATCTTTGGGTAGTTGCAGTTGTGAATGATGGAGCATCTCCAAATAGAAAGTTCTTCAACCTGCATTCAAAACTAGCAAAAGATTTGCAGTGTGATGTTGTCTATAAGACACCAAATGTCTTTGCAACCTCACGCTTCATTTACTTCTTCGCAGATTCCCCTCATTTAATGAAGACAGCAAGGAACTGCCTTTACAATTCTGGTCATGGTTCACGCAGCAGATATATGTGGAATGATGGCCAGCACTTGATCTTCCAACATATTGCTGATCTCTTTTATAGTGATCAGGGCTTTGCATTGCACACCCTTCCCAAGCTGACTTTGGACCACATAGTGCTGACTCCATATAGTAAAATGAAGGTAAAATTCTAATAATTAATTTTGATTATAGAAGCATTGACAATTTTAACTAAAAATGATTAAGATGCAATTTTGTGTCATTTTTCTTTGAATAAAAAATTGGTGATCACCCATGTGAAAAAAGACACATGCATCTTAAGAGTTTTTTAAACTAACATTATACCGGACTATAGGTTTGTGGTTAATTTGAGCTGATTACCCTCAGAATTGTAACCAACTCAATTACCAAACTTGAACTTATTATGAAACAATCAAATTAATATTTAAAATGTTTAAATTTTACGAAATTTTAATGTTTACAATCTATCTTAAGTTGTGTTTATTAAAATTCAATTGAATACCATGTGATTCCTGGTCACACCTGGTGCATGTAATTGGCCAAACAATTTTTGGTGTTGTATATTAGTTATTATGTAGCCCATCAACTCAAGTTATTTAATATTTTGAAAAAAATAGGGGATAAAAAATCCAAACTTTTTTTGAATCCAACCTGCTTCAAGTCTACAATAAGAAAGGCCCAAAACAGAAATGTTAAACTCTTACATATATCATTGTGTTAAAGGTGAAACTGGCTACACAAGTGTTGAGCAAGTCCGTAATGCTTGCCTTACAAGAGTCCTCGAATGATGAAGTGCTTGGAACAGCAGCCTTTTGTGGAATGATGAATGATTTCTTCGACTGCTCCAATGTAAGGTCTCCGACTGAGCATATTAGGAAAAGGAATCAATTCATCAAACCATACACATCATGTGATGATGAAAGATTTGCATGGCTGTTGGATGTCTTCCTTAAGTATTTGGAAGACTGGAAGAAGAGCACATTGGAACGCGAGGGCAATTTTTCACCAGAAGAAAGAAGCAAGATGTTCCTGTCCTGGCAGACATACGAGGGCTTTAAGATCTCTGTTCACTCCCACATTGAGGCAATCCAGTTTCTTCTGGAAAAAGGCTTCCAGTATGTCTTGTCTGAGCGATTCATGCAAGATGTACTGGAGGATTACTTTGGTCACCAGAGAAGCAAAGGAGGAAGATCTGACAACCCAACAGCCCAGCAATTTGGCTATTCTGACCTGACAATAGCATCACAGAGAGACATTGCTCCTGTAGTCCGAGAGAATGTTGGTGGGAGGTATGAAAAAAAGAAATGGTATGATGTCAGCGATGAACCAGTTATGAAGCGAAAAAAGACAAAAAAAAGCAGTGAACAAACAAATGAATAAGTAATTGAAAAATGTCACTGCAGTAAGTGCCCTTCAATTTCAGTAGAGCATTCTAATACAACTGACCTGTAGAATCCAAACACAATATTTGTATACGCCAGCTGATGCCAGAAAATCCGAAGATTAACATATTGAAACCCAAAATATAGGTTAAAGCAAGACAAGGTTGAGTTTGTGATATTTCATTTTTATGAGTTAATCAGGGAGTCTAATGATGATTTTGCAATAAAATCGAAATATCATTAACTCAACCTTGTCTTGCTTTAACCTATATTTTGGATTTCAGCATGTTGATTCTCAGATTTTGTTTTGGTGTTCTGGTGGTAATTCCACAATATGTGAGCAAAATTAAAAGGGCTGGTTCATTTCAATTCTGCATGCTTTATTACCCATTTGTACTTCCTACCCCACTTACTCTTATTACCTTTAACATGAATTATTTAAATCAGCTGATTTTAAACAAAGTAATTACTAAGGTGGAGCACATATTGCCAGCTGAGGGTTAAAATGCAGGCTTTCTGTATGAGAGCGGTCTACATGGTTTGCTATTGTTGATCAGAAAAGTGGTACTTGTGGTACTAGATTGATGTAAATATTGTAAATATGATCTCTTAACTCTTTGAATTTCATACCAATACATACAGGGCAGATGGTGAATTTGATACAAATTGAATAATGTTTATGTATTTAGTAGTTCTTCTTGTTGCTGAATTGGTACTCGATTGATGTAAATAGTGTAAATATTTTTATTATTATTTGAATTTCATACCAATACTGGGAGGTCAATTTGATACCAAATGAGTGTTTTTTATGGTAAAATAAAACAATTTTTGCCAAACACATGAAATATATATGATATAACTGAGATGATTATCATGGTGTAATATGTTACAACTCGGTATGTTTCTTTATAAGTTCAATACTAAATCAAGTCAACATTATTTTCCTTTTGCTTTTTTCATTTCTGTTCTTAAAGCCTTTTTCTTTGACTGTTTTTCCTTTATACGGTACTCAGTAATGAAGTCTCTGGCATAAGAAAATGCTCTGACTCGTAAATAAAGTTTGACTATGTTTTCCAAGCACAGTTTCTGGGTAGATTTTGAAGCTTGCCCTTCACACGAAAACACAATGTTATCCCACAATGACTTAACAGTTGGAGAAGCTAATGTATACTCCGATATTATATCCACTGGAATACTTCTCAGTGGAATCTTGCTTTTATCCACATTCTCTCTGAAAGAAATTTCTGCAACTTCTAAAATAGCGACCAAATCATTGCATGGGGTAACAAGTCCTCCCTTTGTTCGAGCAGAGATATAATTGTTTATAGTTTCAGACGACTTCATACTCTGTAGTAATGACTGTGGTTCCTGGTTTCCTTCTTTTTTCTTCTGTTTAACTGAAACAGTTTGCTGATTACGTAGCCCGCAACATAAGAAAGAGGTCCACGTTCAGCTGGGTCAAGTTGTGTTAGTCTGGCTTCACTGCAGCTGGCTTCCTCGTTCACTGTGGGGGTATTATAAAATCCGATCAAATGTTCGGGAATATGAATCATTACTAGATTCGCAGCTCTGTAGTCCTTACACTTCAGTAGCTCACACGATTGAGGAATCAAACCATAAAAACTTTCTAAAAGTTTGTCTTGACTCTTCGATCGACAAAATGTTTTATTCCGGAGCGACAATGCATCGAATAAAGCATCGGTGGATGAAACGGTTGCCAAATTATCACTTATTTCCGATCCATATAAATTTTCCTCTTTTAACTTCGCCTTTATTGTCTCAACAATTGAATGAACTGTCCCTTTAGAAAGCGCAGAACGAGTTTCCCCAAGGACTTGTTTGTCTCCAAGGTGTTTGATCTTGTGTGTCTTGTCAAGCCTCCTTTGGATTTGCACACTTTGTCGCATTGACTACACGGGAAATTCTTCATACCATCGATTTCTTCTATCGCATCGGTAAATTCCGCATCAATTTCGTCTGATTGTAAATCAGTTACAGCTACCGACACATGGAAGTTATACGTGTCTTCGGCTGTAGCTGTAAATAAAATATCTTCGCCTTCGTCGTCAGATGGCGCGGTCATTACCTCTTCATAAAAATCATCTCGCCAAATATTTTTGTCTGTAACGTTTAAAAAAGATTCATCGGTTTGTTCGCCTTCCGTGTCAGCCTCCATGTTGAACTCAAAGCCCTCCAGCGTTTTTGAAATATGATATTTTGTCTGCACATAATCCTTTCACCCATATGTTTTCTTTTAAACATGGCAAAGCCGTCCCCTTTCCTTGTCACGTGACCAAAATATAATCGGTTCTCGACATATTTGGCGCTCTCCTTTGAAGTAAGCCGACTAGCCTAACCATCTCAGTCCACTAACTGTGCTTCTATCAAATTGTATGTGTTTGTCCATTTTTAAAGTTTTTTGACAACTATAGGCTAGCACTAAAGTGACATTCTTCACATGAACATTTCTTGGCACAAATGTTGAAGCAAAGATGAGCTGGCTCGATAGGATATGAATTGTCAAAGTCAAGTGCACGTAGCATCTGAATTCTTAAAGAACTCTCACTTTTGCAAAATTGCCTCATTTCATCTGTCATTCCTACTCTGTTCATCGCAATATAATGGTTGTTGTAATACAACAGAGCTTGTGCATGCTTTCCATCCCTTCCAGCTCTTCCAGTCTCCTGGAAATATGCCTTAATGCTGCATGGAGGACTGATGTGGATGACACGCCGTATAGATGGTATAGAGAAATGAAACTGGGCAAATAGCCTATTTTCAGGTATTTTCAAGGAACCCTCTGGGTAATGTTGCCTACTCCCAAAACATGTTTGAAAAGTTTGTAGGCAAATCCACACAACTTCAATGGATGGTAAATTATTGTAATGGGATGATTAGTCTTCTCCTTTAATTCTTTAATAGCTTTTTCGCAATTGGCTGCAAGATACCTTTACAAGACTCCATATAATTTCCATGCCTGAAAATTTTCTTGTAGAAAATATTCTTTCTGTCTGGATTACCAATGAAATTTTTGCAGTCTTTTAATCCCAGTGACTCTTTTATACAGTTCCTATATCTTGATTGTTTGCAGTTGCAGTCATTGCAAGTACAGGAACATTTAGAAAAATTGCACACAGAAGTCCCAGTTTGCTGTGGTCAGTTCTGAACTCACTCCCCCTATAACATATTATCGAATAGAAGCAATTAATGCCATGATATGTACTTAATTATTTTCTTTTTTGATAAACTATAAATATGCACAAACCTACCATTCCAGTATGCAGTGAGCCTCATCAATTACCAATAGCACAAATTTTGTCTTGGTATATGTCTGGCTTTTGAGCAATTCACGTCCATATTTACAAGAAACAAAAGATTCTGGATGGGCAAATACAATGTGATAAAAATCCGCTCGTAGTTTACTATCCTCGCTATGTTGTAGATCACATTCGAGGGGGTCATGCTCGCTTTCTTCCTGGTTAACTTTAATATGCCAAGTACTGATGCTCTTATACCAGTTGAGCCAAGGCAGGAGATCTGTTTGCTTATAAGCGCATTAAGCGGTGACACAACAATGACTAAAGTCGCTGCTACAGAAATATCACTAACATGTCACAGTTTTTCTTTGGCGAACATCAAACCAGGTAGCAGTTGAAACACTCAAGATTTTCCATAGCCAGTTGGAAGAACGAAAATAACATCGCGCTTTAAATACATATATTCTGAACATATTACGTGCTTCGGTTTCAAGTTGTTATTGCCGTAAATACTATTAGAAATCGCAAATTGCAAACACGAAAGAAAAGCTATGTGGTCCAACATGACGACTTGTCTTTGTTGAAGAGTTAGAGATCAGTAATCCGATACATTTTAACAACCCACTCATGCTACTCAAAAGGTGGAAATATTTACACAAACCCGCGAACATGCTCTAAAGGAAATGCATCATTCACAATACCCCCTACCGGATGAATTTTGATCGGGATGCCACGTGGTAAAACACCACGAGTAAAGACCCTGGGAACGAAGTTGAATGATTGATAACTCAGTTCCTTGGTCTAATATTTGTAATACTTATTAGCAAGGTTTTAAACTCAGTGGAAAGATTACAACATACGTAACGAAGGTGACATATATAAATATATAAAAGATGTTACGTAATGCTACTTTAAAATCGTGTATAAGGCTTGCGCTCTTATATGGTTAACTGTGACATATATTGAGTACGTCTTGTTAAGTTAAAATTTAAAAATTGATTTGTCATGTTTTACACTTGATAAAAATCTTAATAGAGGGATGGCAATGGAGACAGGCCAGTTTTCGGGGTATGTAGTTTAAAGCAAGCTTTAAAAACTGTAACAACATTTGACTCATGGACAGTTTTTAGCATCATGATTGATAACTCAGTTCCCTTCGTCTAATATTTGCAATACTTATTAGCCAAATTTGAAACTCAGTGAAAAGATTACAACATATGTAACAAAGGTGACATAGATAAATAGATCAAAGATGTAACTATAATGTTACTTTAGAATCGTGCAGAAGGCTTGCACACTTATATGGTTAATTGTGAGGTATGTTGAGTAAATCTTGTTGAGTTAAAATTTGAACATCGATTTGTCATACGTTACACTAGATAAAAATCTTCATAGAGGTATGGCGACAGAGACAGGCCAGTTTTCGGGGTATATAGTTCAAAGCAGGCTGTTTTCAAAATGATAACAACATTTGACTCATGGACAGTTTTTAGCATCATGATTGAAAAACTCAGTTCCTTTGGTGTAATATTAGTAATACTTATTAGCGAAGTTTGAAACTCAGTGAAAAGATTACAGCATACATCACGAAGGTGACATAGATAAATATATCAAAGATGTTACTTTAATGCTACTTTAAAAACGTGCATAAGATTTGCGCTCTTATATGGTTAATTGTGACATATATTGAGTACATCTTGTTAAGTTACAATTTAAACATTAATTGGTCATATTTTACACT